CCTAGGGACTCCTGGGACACATTCAGGAGCTCACACTGTTCAGACGTCGACTTAGCAACTGCATTTTTTCCCAGCTCGCCACGGGATGGATCATGAAGACTGACAACCTCAAAAACAAAAGCAAGCAAAAAAAGGGAGGAGGGGAAAGGCTGTTTATTTGATAAGTCATATGCTACAACAGGGTCATTTTAAGATTTAAAGCTTGAGTGTAAAATAAATATATTCCTCATTGGCTTTATGCAGAGTTATAGGGAATAGTATTCAGTGTGGGTAGGGTGATAGAAACAAAAAAACCATTTCAGAGGATGGGTGGGAAAGGAAAACAAAGGTATCTTATAGGAAGTCCAGATTCCAAAGGGGAAAGTGATCTGTGCATGTTTTTTTTTTTTTAATATTTTTGCATATATTTACCATTTTATTGTGTGTATATATAGAAGACCATATAGGAAATTGATATTTGTAATAGTGGATTTGTTAATACTTTTTACATAACATTACTGTTTAAATTGTAAACAGATTTTTTCTCAGGATTAGTTTGAAAAATAATCTGAATTGTCATCTTAACATCCATATGTAAGGAAGTGATTAGTTCTGTTACTCAAATTTGTTTTCCTCAGCATTGAAATGACTTAATGGAAACTTGTGACCTGCTGCAAAAATTTTTCCTCTCTAAAGAAAAGGTTTATGGTGGCAAATGACGTTTATTTTATTTTGTAAAAAAAAGAAAATATATATGTACTATGTACTTTTGTGTAAACACTGAAAAATCTCTAGTCATCTCTGAGAATTAACTTGCAACTGTTTTCTATAGTGCTGTCGTCTTGGGCAAGTACATGATTTTGTGTTCGTTTCCTTTACAGTCTTTTTTTTTTTCCCTTGTCTTTTCTTTTCTTTTCTTCTTCCTAATAGGAAACAAACAAAAAAGGCCCCCGTGCTCTGGTCTCATTCCTGTTGCAGTGAACCTTGAGTCCCACAGACTGCATGCTGGCTCCTCTAACCCCGTGTGCTGCGTGTGCTTGTGTTTCTCATCACGTAACCTTTTTTAAATCCATGCTTAACTACTGTGGGAGAGAAGAACTGTAAACAGCTTTAATTAAATCATACTTATAAAAAACTATTTTCTTATACTCCACTTTATGCTTTTGGTATTGTTGATCTTTAAAAATTAAATGGTCTTTGATAATGGATCTATTTTGTATTGCTTTATTAAGACCAAATACTTCTTGTCATCCCATTCTCTATCCTCTCCTTTCATGGAATTGTTATCTTTAATTAAACCTTTTTTAAACATTGGCTTGGTTCAATCATACTGTAAATTTTGGTTGTGGTCAGTTTCGAGTGCAAATGAGATGTATAATTCTGTTATTCATCACCTGTCGAGTTTGAAACTCAGTTGGGAATATTTAATATAATGGAATGTAAGTGACATTTCCGAAAGCGCTTTCTTTCCAGGTGAAAGCTCTTCTGTTTAGCATCAGTATGTGTGGCCCTGTCAAATACAGCCATTTCTGAGATGAGATTCTTTTATATATATATATATATGTATATATATATATATATGAAGTACTATTGGCTTTTAGGAATTTCTTTTATATACATTTATGAAATATCGAAGACCAATCAGACCATTAATGGACACTTAGTACAACCTTTTATAAAGAAAATAATGCTAAAGTAAGACCAAAAGTGACGTCATCACGGAAATTAACAATCACAATATGTTCGTATTTTAATTCACAACGAAAAAAATATGTTCCACAGCCGGAAAAACCCATAGTACCTGTGTAAACCGTGGAAGATTTTAAATGTGATGTTATTTTGACAATGTTTTAAATTTTAGAGTCACATTTTATTCTGATCAGAATTTTTATCAAGATGTTGAGCTTTTGTTTTTGGAAACTAGTTTGTCATAAACTATTGTGCATAATCACAGTATTTATTTTCTAGGACTCTTGTGAATGTGTAGACTTATGTTTACTGCTAAGGGAACAATTATTTATAAAATAATATTAAATCCAGTATTAGCTGCCTATTTCAGACACTTAATACTTGCAGAGATCCATGTTACATTGACCACACTGAATTTTTTTTTTTAAAGAATCACCCTCATTGTTGAAAGTAAATGTACTCTTAGGGTGCAAATATTAGTGTACCAATAAGCATGTGATTATATTAAGGTGGTGGTAGCGGGAAGATAATCTTGATTCCATTGGGAATCTTAGGTTTTCGTAAATTTATTGGGAAAATAGTTTTTCCTGTACTGCTGAAGTTTCTTTTTGGTAAACAGTATCTTTCTAAAAGAAAAAAGCATGAAGGAGAAATTGAGGTGTGTATACATTTCCTCAAATTACCAGCATTGTATTCGTGAATACTGTGTATCTTGCAATGAACAGTATGGAAGCTGTTCATTTTTCAATCTGAAGTAAAATACTTTCAAGAACTTTTAGTTTGCCTGCTCATTTGTTTTGAACATCTCATTTCCGTATTTGACTCCCGTCTTCTTACTTCTGTGAGTTGTAGTACTTTCTATAAAGCATTTGTGAGTATATCAGAAATATGTCGTTTAAATATTCCTGTCCATCCACATCCATGAATCATCACCTTCCTCTGCTGGTACTTGTCAAGTGGGGTTTTGACAAATTCTGCCTCCCACTGGTGACATTTCCTGGCGGTCACGTTTGTGGACCTGGTCATAAGAATCATGTAAATACTGTTTTGTTTTTTTTTTCTTTTTTTCTTTTTTGAGATGCCAATGGGTCAAAGATGTGTCAGCACAAAACCCGAGTGGTTATGTTTTGATGATCAAGGTAAATGATTTTTTTCCTCTCGGTTTGAAGGTGTCCATGAAGGTGCCTGGTGTTCAGTGTCTTTGTTGTGTTTAGAGCTGTTGCACTTGGTTTTCAAATCTAGCTTTGATCTGTAGGATCTATAGGTTTTATGTGTAGTTGCCCTCCACTCTTCAGCAGTTGATCCTGTTCCATTTTTGTCTTATTTTAAATGTATTTTACTTTTACTTGTATTTCGAGCCTCTCATGAATAATTAGGGTGTTGGATTGGGTTCCACGTATTCCTGGATAGTCTTCACAGGGCAAAACATGGGGCCTAGTCTTTTTCCTCTGATGTCTTGTATATTTTTGTGCTTCTTTCTCATACCCCCACCTCCCCACTTCGTCATGGTTAAGTGTGACTTGTGTTTACCTCGACCTATGGGCTAGTGCTTGGGGTTTCCAGAACTTGAGAAGGG